CCGCTCTTCAGACTTTCTTATTCTTCATGAGAACCTGGCGTTGTCTTAGATATAGATCCAAGCTGAACTTGATAGCGTCTGTTCCAGTGTTACGGAAGAACAATAGACTAAGTCTGTAGCACATAATTTGACATTTCTTTCTAGTTGTTTCGGAATTAAAGTGACATTTTTACAAATAACTCTTTAATGATGAGAGAAGCTCAGATTAGTAAGAGCTGGTTTCTGCAAGTATCCCATTATGCAGGTCCATGTTACTATCTTCCACAAATATCACAAGATAATTTAAGGTAGTTAAAAAATTATGCCGTATGGGACCAGCAGATGACATAATGGTTACATTGTTGGACTCCCACATGGCCAACTGCGGTTCGAGTCCCGGACCTAGTGACTTGAAACTCATGCTGGGCACATATGCGTGCGTGTCCAAAATCCCAAGAGGAGAATGGAGGAGAAGGGATTGCAGCGTGGCCATTCCCCCAGGAGGGGGGGGTGATTTCTCACTGTCTTTCTGTCTGTCCCTTTCTCTGGCAAGCACACATACCCTATAATAAAAATCTCTCTTAAGGGAAAAACTATGCTATAAACAATTTTTAAATAGTCAGGCAATTAGTGGTTTCAAACACTACTTAGTTTTCAAACTGGAAACTTTTTTTTGGTATGTATAAGGATAATTTATATTTCGAATTGCCTTTTACTGATTTTTTTAAGTAGTAGCAACATTTATTCTTGTAAAATATAGTGGTAAAAAGATAAAATTCAGTTCTATATCTCCTTTATTTTCCCCCCTCCTTGGTTAGAATTTCTGTCTTTGTTAGTGCTTTTTGACAACTTTTTACAAAAGAATGATGAAGATAAATTACTTTCAATATAAGTACCCCAGTTCAAAAGTCCAGAGCATTTTTCTTCATATTTAGGGAGAGCCCTGTTTTGTTTAACCTATCAGTCAAGTCATTTGGCTGGTCGACTATGAAGTTTTACATTAAATGAATTAATAAAAGTTGTAAGCTTCCAGAAAATAAATACTTCCAGGATTGAATGAAGGTTCTATGAAAGAGAAACATCTGGAATGTGCCTTATTTCTTAATAGCCCCCGAGGGAACGATGACACTGGAATAATGTCATGTTTGTGTTGGTTGGAAAACTCCGTAACATATTTACACTAGGATTGTACACTGTGCCACCAAACAGCATGTTTATCCTCTGTTTCAGACAACATAGAAGATGTTTTGATGATCACTATCAGTGTATCCAATAGGCTTGTCTGTGTCACGGTTTAAGCACCATTTCACATAACAGTTATGCTTTAGTCGCTGTGTATTCACCAATGGAGTCAATGCGATTAGCTTGCCAAGGTCCAGAAGCAGTTCCATTTATTACAGGATGCATAAAAAGCTATGTCCTGAGCTTAGTAGGGAGCATGACTCAGAATCTTAATTTTTGAGAGTTAATATTTTATTAACGAACTATTAACATAATAGAAATGCTTATGTTAAAAGGTTAATAATGAGTATAAAGATATTTATTTCTTTAACGTAAAGATGAATAACTGTCCTTTCAAGCTGGACCTATGTTGTGTACGGAAGTACAGACTAAACCTTGATAGAGTTGCCAGTTTGGCCCAATCAAAGTTTTTTTTTTTAATGAAGCTAAGTATACATTTTTGTTTTAAAGAATGTTTTAGACACAATTAGGGTTTTGTTTTCGTTGTTGTTGTTGTTTGCCAATAATCAACCTCCTGAAGTGAAATGAGAAATCCATTTTACAGACAAGTTCAACTTTCAGAATTTTGTTGTTCTCTTTAAAAAATCAAATGTGTCAGAGTGTGACTGTCTTAAGTAACTGATTGAACCAGCTGGTATGTTTCTTCAGCAGCCTGGTCCTGCATCCAGGGTCACTTATGTCCCCTTCCTTGTCGGCCCGGGCTGGAGGCCATTCTCTCAGCTGTCCCAGTCCTGCCATTCTAGAGTCCCTGAAACCTTTCCTGACTCTGCCCTCCCATGCTCTTATTCTCTGTCATCCACACCTGTTGTATCAGTCCTTACTTTCCTTGTGTCTCACCAAAATTGTTCGCTCTTATAGCAAGTGGCATGACATTGGCCACGGAAGGAATAAATACTGGAATTGCCCTGCCTTCATTGTCTTCCTGGGCAAAGGGGAAAGTGTAGGGAGACAGTCTGGCCAGATCACTGAGCGGCCGGATCCCCGAGCGGCCGGATCCCCGAGCGGCCGGATCCCCGAGCGGCCGGATCACTGAGCGGCTTGCTCTGCTCATAATAGGTCCCTCTCCATGGTATCTTCCATCCCAAGGCTCGTTACATCAGGACATCTTGGAAGCCAAGTGTCCGTCCCGATTTGAGATTGGTCACATTTTTCATTGGTCAGGATCCCTGCATTTCACCTACATCCACAGTGGCAGATGAAAGGATCTTTTAGGGCACTTCTACCGCTTCTAAGGTTAATGCTGCCCCGGTTTCCTAGAGCCTGCCTGCCGGTGGAACTTGGCATGTTAAAGCAGGAAGAGGCAGGACGTTGCCAGGCAGAGCTGCAAGCCCAGCCCCGGGAAACGTGCTTACGTGGCCCAGAAAGCCTCTTTCTGAAAAGCCACTTAACTCAAAGTCATCCCTAAAGTCAGTTTAAATGCACGTTAAATTAACTTGTCGTGGATGAAACCAGTGAAAGTTTTATGACAAAACCAAGATTTATTATCAAGCTATTGGTCTCCAAAAAGTTCTGTGGAATCAGAACCAGATGAATGGTTTCTTTTTGTAAACCTGTACAAGTGTATTCTATGCAAAGGGCACCCTCAGACCCCCACCCTCACCAGCCAATGAAAGTGCGTGCATGTGTGTCCAGGCCTGGGGTGCTGGCTGACTGGGGTTCACATGCTCGGTCCCCCATGTGGCACCCAACACAGCTGAGCAGGCCCTGGGCCACTGCAGCTGAGCCTGTTTCCACACATTTCCACAGTTAGACGTTACTATTTTAGAGCTCATTGAACTGGTTGAGTTAGAGAGTCAGAATCTAACATGCAGTCCTTTTTTTTTTTGGAGAGGTTTTTGCTATAGGGCGTGTGCGCTCGCCAGACAGATAGAGAGACACAGAAAGCGAGGAATCACCCCCCGGGGGATGGCCACCCCGCATTCCTTTCTCCTCCATTCTCCTCTTGAGATCTTAGGCATGCATGCACAGGTGCCCGGTGTGAGTTTAAGCCCCCGGGTCCGGGACGCGAACCACGGTCGACTACGTGGGAGTCCAGCGACAAAGCCATTATGCTAACTGCTGGTTCCAACATGTATTCCTTTTTCCTGTGGAGGAGAGAAAATTAATATTAGGAGGAAAGTTACTCATGCTCTCTGTGTTCGCAGGACGCTTGCCAATAGCATATTCCATGTTCTCCTTTCGCTTTTTTAGGTGATCGAAGACAGTACCGGGGTCCGCCGGGTGGTGGTCACACCCCAGTCTCCTGAGTGTTACCCCCCAAGCTACCCCTCAGCCATGTCTCCAACCCCTCACCTTCCCCACTACCTGACCCACCACCCGCATTTCCTCCATAACTCGCACACGGCTTACTACCCACCCGTGACCGGACCTGGAGACATGCCGCCTCAGTTTTTCCCTCACCATCATCTTCCCCCGACGATATATGGCGAACAAGGTGAGTATTTCCTGCCGGATCGGGAGCTGTTGACCTGTCCACCCGTTTATGAGAGCTCTTTGTTTCTGCTGGAATACGCAGGTGGTAGAAGGGGCCCTCATGGTGTGTAACTCGTGGGAAGTTCCTTGTTCCCTTTGTCCTTGGGAAAAATGACTTTGTGGGTCGTAGACCTCCTTCTCTCATTTTACTCACATCCTCCTGAGTATTTCCTGCCGGATCGGGAGCTGTTGACCTGTCCACCCGTTTATGAGAGCTCTTTGTTTCTGCTGGAATACGCAGGTGGTAGAAGGGGCCCTCATGGTGTGTAACTCGTGGGAAGTTCCTTGTTCCCTTTGTCCTTGGGAAAAATGACTTTGTGGGTCGTAGACCTCCTCTCATTTTACTCACATCCTCCTCTGGACCCCCACTGTGCCTAGGTCTGGGGGTGGGAAGGACACTCGATTTTAGAAAGGAGGCAGGGGTCCACTGTGTCTTCCTTTGGCCTGGAACATGTTCCGGTGTGAGAGTGGTCCAAGGCAGAGCCATGGCGCATGATTCCTTGGGCAATCATGGGGTCCCACAGTAGAAGGGAAATGGAAACGAGTTTTGTGGGCCAGCACATGGCCTGGTGGTCAGTGTGGCTGGGTCTCATATGGCACCTGTACAGTTCGAGTCCTAGACCCACACCGAGTGCCATGCGTGCGCCCCAAATCCCAGGTAGAGGAGGAAGAGGGCTGTGGTGTGACCGTCTTCCCCCTTTCCTCGGGGTGCTTCTTCACTCCCTCTTCTTCCCCACTCTCCCTGCCCCACACGAACCCACATGCCCAACAGCAAAATTAAAAAAGAAGGAAAGAGTTTTGTGCCCCATTTCCAGGATTAGAAGGCCACGAAGCTCCACCATGTGGGTTTCCTGAGTGCCCTGGGCTGCGAGTGACTAAGACTCTCTGTGCATGGCCACGGTTTCATGGGCTGTCCGGCAAATTCTTACCTTGAAATGAAAGGAAAAAAACAACATTGTATTTTTTTTAAAGTTTTGGCCTTGGTGTTAGTTTAGTCTAAGGCCTTCTCTATCAAAATGGATACTGAGAAACCAGATTAGTGAAGAAAAAATTAGGCTTTGACCTCGAGGACTTTGCAGAATGAGTTTCTTCTGAGTGTAAGAATGGAAGCATCACCACTTCACACGTTTATTATGTTAGTGGGGATAAATTCCATGCGAAGTACCTGCTACATACCAGAGGGTTTTTCAACCCCGTTATTGCCTCACTTCCTCACGTGAATTTCATTTATATATACACACACACACATATTTACTTTATATGTATACACATACATACACACATGCATTCATATTGATTCGTATTTCTAATATATAAATATATATTAGAAAGCCACGTGTCTAATATATAAATATAGAGTGATGAGATAAAAGAAAAAAAAAAGAAAGGAAAGAGAGAGAGAAAGAGAAAAGAAGAAAAAAAAAGCAAACAAACAAACAAAAAGACCCACAAAAAAAATGGAAAGAAAAAGTGAAAAAAATTAAAATAAATAAAAAACCACACAGCACAAAATCACTAGTTCTCAGGAGCCATGGAAGAGTCTTTTTCTGAAGGCCTGCCCCTTGCCTCCCCTGGATGGGCATAGGAAAGGGGATTATTATTAAGATAAAGAGGGGTTGAAAGTCAAGAAAATGTTAACTTAAAATTTTTATAAAGGAAAAATTACAAAAAAAAAATGAGATGAGAAGACAGAGACAGAGAGAGACAGAGACAGAGGCAGAGAGAAGTCTAGAGGGGCTGTGCATCACTAGAGTTTTTGGACTGGGGGCTAAATTATCAGTAGAAAAATTTCGTTTCTCTTTTTTCCTTGAAATCACTAGTTCTCAGGAGCCATGGAAGAGTATTCTTCTTAAGACTTGCCCCTTGTTCAAAGTCTTAGGTTTCGATCTTTGATCAATTTTGAGTTGATTATTGTCAATGGTGAGACATAGGGATTTAGATTCATCTTTCTGCAAGTGGATATCCCATTTTTCCAGCACCATTTGGTAAAGAGGTTTTCCTTTATTCCAATGGAGTAAATAGTAACCCTTGTCAAAAACCAGTTGGCTGTATGTTTGGAAGTTCACTTCTTGGGATTCTATTCTGTTCCATTGGTACACCTGACTGTTTCTGTGCCAATACCATGCTGTTTTCATTAACAATGCTGTGCAGCATATTTTTGAATCAGGGAATGAGATGCTTCCCAGTCCACTCTTGCTCAGAATTGTTTAGGTAATACTAGGTCTTTTATGATTCCAGACAAATTGTATGATTGTTTTTCCTAGATTTGTGGAAAATGTCTCTAGAACTTTGATTGGGATTGCAATAAATATTTAGATTAATCTGGGTAGGATTGCCATTTTGATTGTATTAAATCTTCCAATCCAGTAACATGGGAAGTTTTTCCACTTTTTTATGTCATTGTCAATTTCTTTTTTTAGCTTCTCATAGTTTACCTTATGGAGGTCTTTAACTTTTTTGGTTATATTTATTCCTAAGCATACTATATTTTTTGTGGCTATGGTAAATGGGGTTACTTTTTCAGTTGTAACTCTGCCTGCTGTTCAAAATGCTATAGATTTGCTGTTCAAAATATAAAATGCTGTTCAAAATATAAAAATGCTATAGATTTATGTTGATTTTGTAACCTGCCAATTTACTGTATTCATGCATTACTTCCAGGATTTTTTTCATGGACACCATCTACAATCATGCCATCTGCAAATAAAGATAGTTTCACCTTTTTTTGCCTATTTCGATGCTTTTAATTTTATCCTCTTCTCTGATTGCACTGGTGAGGACTTCCAGTACTATATTGAAAGCTTTTAGCTTTCCTCCATTCAGGATGATGTTCTCTATTGGTTTTTCACATATAGCTTTTATTGTGTTGAGAAATGACTCTTCTATGTCGATTTTGCTGAGAGTGTTTGTCATGAAGGGATGTTGTATCTTATCAAATGCCTTTTCTGCATCAGTTCATATGATCACATGTTTTTTTTTTTTTTTATCTTTCTTTCTGTTAATATGGTGTATTACATTTATGGTTTTGTGTATGGTGAACCAAACTTGCATCCCAGGAAGAAAGCCTACCTGGTCGTAGGCGTATAATCTTTTAATACATTGTTGGATACAATTTGCTATTATCTCATTGAGAATCTCTGTGTCTATATTCATCAGAGATATTGGTGTATAGTTTTCCCTCCTTGTCCTGTCCTCATCTGTTTTAAGGATATGGATGCTAGAGGCTTCATAGACTAAATTAGGGAGAGATTCACCCTTTTGCATCTCTAGAAATAATTAAGCAGAATGGGGGTTAACTCTTCTTTAAAATTTTTGTAGAATTCAGAGGTGAAGCCATTAGGACCAGGGCTTTTCTTTGTTGGGATGTTATTTATTACTGATTCAATCTCCCGGCTTGTTATGGGCCTATTCAGACTTGCTATATTCTCCTGGCTCAATCTTGGTAGATTTTATGTGTCCTGGAATTTGCCCATCTCATCCAAATTTTCTTGTTTGTTGGTATATAGTTTTTCATAGTATCCTCTAATGATGTTTTGTATTTAAGTTATGTCTGTCATTATATTGCCAGCTTCATTGCAAATTTGATATACCTGGTTTCTTTCTTTCCACTTCTTAATAAGTCTCATTAGTGGTGTATCAATTTTTTTTTTATCTTTTCAAAAAACAAACTTTTACTTTCACTTTTTTTCTGTATAGATCGTTTATTTTCTTTTACATTTATTTCTGCTTGGACCTTCATTATTTGCTTCCTCCTAGAGTTTTTGGATTTTTTTGCTGTTGCTTTTCTAACTATCTGAAGCACAATGTTAGGTGATCAATTAGTGTTCTTTCCATTTTCTTCTTATGTGTACTTATTGCTATGAATTTTCTTTTGGGACACTGCTTTTTGCAGTGTCCCAAAGATTATGGAGATTCATGTTCTCATTGTCATTGGCTTCCATGAGTCTTCTGATTTCAGCCTTTATTTCTTCAGTAGTCGTGAAGTCATTTAGGAGCAGATTATTTCGTTTCCATTTATTTGTGTATTTTGAGGATTTCTGTTGCAAGTAAAATCAAGTTTTATTCCTTCATGGTCAGAGAAGGTGCTGCATATGATTTATATGTCTTTGAATCTGTAGAGGCTTGCCTTATGCCCTATCATGTGGTCAGTCTTCAAAAAGATTTCATGTGGGGGTGAGAAACATATGTATCTCATTGTTTTTTGGTGGAAAGTTCTATAGGTGTCTGTTAAGTCCATTTGTTTTGTGGTTTCATTTAGATCCTTTATTTCTTAGTTTTTGTCTAGATGATCTTTAGAGAGGAGATAGTGGGGTGCTGAGGTTCCCAACAATTATTGTGTTGCTTTCTATTTCTCCTTTTAGATCTTTCAGTCTTTTTTTTTTTTTTCCTATAGGGCGTGTGCGCTCGCCAGACAGACAGAGAGACAGAGAGACAGAAAGCAAGAAATCACGGGGGGATGACCACACCACAATCCCTTCTCCTCCATTCTCCTCTCAGGATCTTGGGCACACATGCACACGTGCCTGGCGTGAATTTAAGCCACTGGGTCTGGGAATCAAACTTCGGTTGACTACGTGGGAGTCCAGCGACATAGCCATTACACTAACTGCTAGTCCCCTTGCAGTCTTTCCTTCATGTATCTGGGTACTCCTGGGTTAAGTGCATGAATGTTTACAAGAATTATTTTTTTTGATAGATTAACCCTTTTACTATAATATAATGCCCATCTTTGTCTCTTCCAACAGTTTTTGTTTGTCTGTTAAGTCTATTTGTTTTGTGGTTTCATTTATATTCTTTATCTCTTAGTTTTTGTCTAGATGATCTTTAGAGAGGAAATAGTGGGGCGTTGAGGTTGCCAACAATTATTGTGTTGCTTTCTATTTCTCCTTTTAGATCTTGCAGTCTTTCCTTCATGTATTTGGGTACTCCTGTGTTAAGTGCATGGATATTTAAAAGAATTAT